ATTTATAATACCTTTGGGTATAGTCTTCAAATCCTTCGAACAAGATTCATAAGTCTTCTAAGCTAAATCTATTTAATATTAAGATTTGTAAGTCTTTCGGGCAGAGTATTTTAAATCTTTAAAATTGTGAAGCCTCTATTTAGAGGAGCATTTAAGTGTTAAGATTTATAAGACTTTCGGACATAATCTCTAAGTCTTTCGAACAAGATTCGTAAGTCTTCCAAGTTGAATCTATTTTCGAGTCAAGATTTATAAGACCTACAAGTATAATCTCTAAATTATCATAATTTATTTTAAAATTGTGGAGTCGCTTGTGAAATGTGTTTTTATTTTAATTTATTTTAAAAAGTTGTAAAGCGTCTAATAAGAGGAGTTTTTCAAGAAAAAAATAAAAAATCAAATTTAAAAAAAAATTTAGAAACAAAAAATGTTTGAAGTTAGTATGCCTAAATAAAATTGTTGTCTATATCTTTACCCTATTCTTGATTCTCAGATATATGTAAAGATGGACAATTATAAACATCAATTGTTTTCTGGTTTAATAATTTCGTGTTTTAATATTGATTAATCTAAAATATATATATAATAAAAAATATAATAATGATAAATAATAACAATAATAAAAAAAGAAAACAAGAATTAAAGCTTGGTGTTGTGTACGGCACCGGCCCTACTCCACCTTAGAGTATAGATGTAATCGATCAAGTTTGAGTCAATACAGTATTAAGCTCAAGCTTGATTCGAAATTTGATGCTCAAATTTCGACTCAAACTCAATTGAATTTTATTTTTCTAGCTCAAGCTCTATTTGAGATAAAAATCGAGTTACTCAAACTTGTTCGATTAGGCTAGATTAACATGTAAATATAAGCTCAATTTTTATATTTGATAAAAGCTCGATTATTTATACTCGAGCTTGAGCTCGAGTTCGAGATATTTTATTAATTAAAATAATAAAAATATATTTAAATATAAAAGCTCGATTAGGCTCACGAACTACTCGAGTTGGATATAAGAATACTCGAACTCGACTCGATTGATGAGTCAAGCTATTCTAGCTCGAGCTCGACTCGATAATAATTGAGTCAAATTTGAGTTTTATTCGAATTGAACCCGAATAGCTTGCTGAGTACTAATATATCATGTACACCTCCACCTTGGAACCACTCTACCTAGCCACCATGGCTACTGAAATTTAGCTGCCAAACACCTCTACCTTATCTATAAGATATTTTGTCCAAGCTTAAAACTTGGTAATGTCTATTAAAACCCAATTGAATTCAACATAAAAAGGAAGGAGAATACCCCATTAACATCTTCGCCAGCCAAAACCCACACTTCACAGCCCTTATAGAAGCACCCCTTAACACCATCCCAGCTTCTCATCCCTCTACACGTATCAAGCCTTTCCAAATAATCCCTTTATCGGTCCTCAGCCTTACCCAACAAAGAACACTTTCCCTCACAGTTCCTTACACCTTTGGTAAGCGCCAAGCCTCCTACTCGCTCCACCTATTACATGCACTAGACCAAGACCATTAACCCCATGCTTACTCTCACTCCATTCTTTCCATTGAGCATTGTGCATCCTAGCCTCTAGACAATCCCCAAACCCAAATACCACCAACAAAACACAAAAAAAAGAGAAGCCCATTTGTAACCTTTCAAAATAAAAAAAAATAAAAGAAATATACAGTGCTTACTGATCTCGATGAAGAACCTAATAGCGTCAAGCCTCTCTGTTTAAAAAAATCGTTGAAGGGTTTTAGTCAAGGGAGATTTAGTGTTTAGAAAGGTTTAAAAACTTTATTTTTGGAAGAGAATAAGCTTTTGGCAAGTGAAATAACATACTAAAAGGCTAGGGCATTTGGAGCGATGGATATGTAGTTTTTTATAGGTTTGAATCGCAACCTTCAACCCAGATTTGAGAAAGTGCACAAGTTTTTAGGGAAATCTACACTAGTAAAAGGAAATCGAAAAGAGAGAGGAATATGTTGGTGGAATTTAGGCCTTAATCGGTGTTGGAGATTAGCAGCTGGTGGTGGTGAAAGGAGGCCGGTGCGACAGCTAGGTGCCAAATTTTGGGAAGCTTTTGGATTTTTTTGTGGTCCTTTCAATTTTTTTTAAAGGGAGTTGAAATGAAATTGAAAAAAAAAAACTAATTTTTATAGTTGAAAAAAAGAAAAAAAGCTAACTCGTGTGTGGACTTGACCCAACCTGCGGTCCTCGTGCTTGACTAGATTTCCAGCCTCTATTACAGCATTGAACTAGTTCAATTGAACCAGTCTAAACCATTTGGACCCCTCTCGAACCACATGTTGAATCGAAAGAACCAGAAGTGAATTGGCCCGAACCATGACCAACTTCGACCATTTTTTTTTAGTAATTTTATTATTTATTTAGTTATTTAGTTATTTATTTATTTTTGCTCAATTATTTACGTGTTTATTTATACATATTCAAATCTTAAATTAAAAAAAAACAAATATATGTATATTAAAAAAAGAAAGCTAGAGAAAAAAATATTTTTAAAGCAAAAAAGAAAATTTTCAATGATGGGACTTTGGAAAGTTTGAGTAGTGATTCTTAAAAATTCTCTATGTGAGAAAAATCTTTTAAAAATTACCAAAGTATTGAAATATTTAGAAGTTTCTTTTTAATACAAAAATTTCTATTTTATTATTTTCTTTAATTTAAGTAGTTTTTCTTAATAACATAAAATTATGTGTTTTTAATAAATAAATTTATTTATGGATAATAATATTATTACATGATTTTTAAATATTAAAGTAAATGAGAAATCTCCGATGATGAGATCCAAATAAAATTTAAGTAGTAATTTTTTAAAAATCTCTAGGTAAAAAAATTTATCTAAAATACTGTCAACGTATCGAAACATTTAGATTGAATTTTGACAAAAATTTCTCATTTTTTAAAAATGATATGGAAATGAATATTTTAAAAAATATTATTTAATTTTAAATTATAGATACTATATCTTATATTTTTTAAAATAAATATTGAAAATAAATATGAACTGCTAATGATGAGATTTTTAAGAATCTTTAGGTGAGATGGTTCCTTCTAATATTATCAGAGCATAAGAATTTTTTTAGGAATTTTTCAATATATAAGATTTATAGTTATTTTTCAAACATACTAAGAAATAAATATATGTTTTTAAAGTAAATTAAGGAAATTAAATTCTAAATACCAAAATTAATATTATTGTAGTCAAAATTAAAAAATAACACATAATTAATTGATACTATTTTTACAGGCAATATGTGAATGCTAATTTTTTTTTACGCGTAACCGACTTTCAAACCCAAATTATTTTCGTAAACTCAAAAATTATATTTTAATAAATTTTAATTAATTTTAAAATTTTATAAGAAGATAAATTTTAATAAATGATTAATTACACCTAATCAAAAAAATTTATAACGACTCTATCTATTTTTAAATTCGTCTGACAACTCTAAATCTGTTATGACAGCAAGACTAAGCCAAGAAAACAATTTGTACCGAGAAATTAAGTAACGATGTATGAAACTTAAAAGGAATTTGATATACGCTAATTAATTTTATTTAAGAATATTATAATAAAAAAAAGGTGTAGAGAGATTTTTTATGTTGCTAACAGAAGCTCTCAAATTTTAATTTTAAACGACAAAAAATGTTTTTTTAAACATTTGAAATTATATTTGCGAAAAAAATGTAATTTTTTGAGAAAACATAAATAAAAAATACTCATGGGTCTTATTTATATCTCTACGTAATTATTCAGCTCAAAAAATTATCTATCCAAAAGTTTAAATATGAATAAATCGTTGACTTCCAAAATTTATTATAATAATTAGGAGTATTTTTTGATTATTTTAATTAATTTTGAATTGAATTATTTAAAATTAAATTAATCTAAGATTAATACTTGATATATTATTAGTATAAAATTTTAATCACATAATATGATTAGGGTAATATATATTTATTTTGTAATTTCTAATTAAATTTTTATTTTTTAAAATATATCTTAAATGACATATGTTACTCTTTTAATTCTGTTTGTGTAATCAAAATTTTACATTAATATTTTATCAAATATCAACTCTTGATTAAATTAAATAATATTATTTTTATTTATAAAACATAATTAATTTAATTTAATTAATTCAATTACTTTTTGAATTAATCAAATAATAAAATACATTTAAATTAAATTATATTTTAAAATTATATTGTTGTATTTAAAAACAAATTAAATAAAATTAAATAATAAAAATTATGATAAAAATTATAATAACTTATAAAATGAAACAATTTGCTTCATATTTTAGTTTATATTTGAGTATTTTTATATTCTTATTAAAATTTCAATTAATTCAATTAATAAATAAAATTTTAAAATTTTTTTTATCAAAATTAATTCAATGTTTTATGGATTAACTAATTAAATCTATTCAAATCAATTGAGAGTTAGTTTATCATTATTGTTACGATTGAAAAAATTTGAATCGAAAGGAAGTGTTTTTAGGATAAAAATAATTTTGGAGAAAAATCACTATATTATCTTAGATTGCTAACATTTTATTATTTTAGATATATTTTTAAATATTTTAATTACTTATATAACCTCTTTATAACAATGCTAAACATTTAAAGATTTTAACTATATTTTTTAAAATTATTTTTAATTAAAATTTTTTTTGAAATCTAATAATTTATATATTTATATCATATAAAATATTAATAATGTATATATTGATATTGTATTTTATAAAAATATTACGTAACATAATTTGTATTAATACAAAAAAATTATATTTTTTATTTTGTTAAAATTATTTATTATTTTTATTAAAATTTTAAATTATATAACTTTTTATTTTTTATTTATATTATTTTCATATAATATCATAATATGTATTTTAAATTATTTTTAAATTATTACGTCATCATACCAACATGCTAATGGCAACTTTTGCAAGGTCACGATTTCAAAATCATTTGAAAACCCAGGAGCGCTCAAATATACCTCTCGCGACGGTTAAATTTCCTCTTCCCCAAATTTCCCGATCTCCCTAAAATGGGACCCAATTCATAGCATTTTATAATTCATTTATCGTTGTTATTGTTCATCAAATTTCTTTTAGGCTTTAATTTTCGATTCTTCTGGGTTGCTTTGATTTGAAACAACAATGTCCGCATCTACCGTCTCTATCACCGCCAATCACATTGCGGGGGCTCGTCGCCGGCCGGTCCTCATAGCCGAAAAGAAATCGAACATCGAATCATTGGCTGTCGAACCGAACCCTAATGGAGTTAACGTTGGGGAAGATAAAGCCGCCGGCACCGTTGCCACTGCGGGTCACAGCCGAGATCTGAGCCATCATTCGATCCGTGGCGAGGCGTCGAAGGACTCTATGCAAACGAGAAAAGTCCCTGTGGGTCAAAACGGGAACATTCCGCTTCGGCGAACGCGGAAAGGAGTGCTCAACAAGACGGAGAAACCCCGGTGGTTGACTGTGGGTAGTATCTTTGTTAAGAATTTAGTGCTTTTGCTTGTTTTGGCCGGGTTAGTTCAGATTATTAGGAGATGGGCTTTGAAATCTGGGGGTGTTAGTGGGGTTGGGACACAGATTGGATTAACTGAATTCGAGGGTAGAGTTGCTGAGGTTGAGAGTTTTTTGAAGACCACAGCTAAAATGATTCAGGTTCAGGTAGAGGTTGTTGATAGGAAACTTGAAAACGAAATTGGTGGGTTAAGGAGGGAACTGAATGAGAGAATTGAGGATCAAACTGGGGTCTTGCAGAATTCGTTGAAAAAATTGGAAGAAAAGAGTGAGGGATTGGATAAGTCCTTGAGTGAATTGAAGAGCGCCAATTTGTTGACAAAAGAAGAGTTCGAGATGATGTATGAACAAATGATAAAGGAGATGAGTGAAAATGGTAAGACTGAAAATGCAGTGAGTTTGAGTGATCTAGGAGCATATGCAAGAGAGATTGTTAAGAATGAGATTGAGAAGCATGCCTCGGATGGGCTTGCGAGGGCTGATTATGCACTGTTTTCGGGCGGGGGAAAGGTTGTTAGGCATTCCGAGCCCTTTCTTGGTGGAAAGGGAAGCAACTGGTTTTTGACAAGTAGTCAAAATGGTGTTCATCGTGATGCAGACAAGATGTTGAAGCCTAGTTTTGGAGAACCAGGGCAGTGCTTTCCATTGAAAGGAAGCAACGGGTTTGTTCAGATCAAGCTGCGCACAGCTATTATCCCAGAGGCTATTACTTTGGAACATGTTGCCAAGGTAACATTTTGAATTTTGATTATGCTTACATTGTTCTAAAGTTGTTTACTTTGTTTATAGTTCTACTTATGTATATGTCTTAAATTTTGGTTCAGTTTCTTTTGGTATTGAGCCTGAAGCACTAATGTAAGATCCATTGGCTGTAAATATTCAAACTCGAGCTCCCCTACACAATCGTTTTAGCCAAAATAATTTACAAGTGATATGAGCTATAGCCCTCTCTGGTTCAACCCTTGATCTTGCAATAACAGTATGCTTCGTACTCTTCCAAGACACTATATTTCCACTAACTAACAGCTAATAACTTTTAGTAGACTTCTTATAATTAGTAGATCTAGCTCAATTTGTTTCTCAATAGCCTCAATTTGACATCGGCAATAATTCGTTATTTTTATAAAGTTGGATATATATGAATCTTATAGTATTAATGAAAGAAAACAAAAAACATTACACTGGTCTCTTATTTAAGAATCTATATTGGCTCTGTAGTCTGTTATAACACCCTCCTTACCCTGCATCTTACCTCCTTTATGTATTATTGTTCAGTATTAGATCTAAATATTTAAATAATGTGGTTTAGTAGTCTTTCCTTTCCTTTAATAGTGGTTTCAGGGAAAGAGAAATTGGTTAATACAAAAGCTGAGGCTTGACTGAAGAGTATGTGTTAGATGAGGATATATTTATCCATTTATGTTTACTTTTAATGGAGGCACACTTTTGGAGGTAGTGGGTGAAGACATCTATATATATATATATATATATATATATATATTTCTGGCATTGCTAGATTGCATTGGGTAAAGAGAGTAAGAGCTACTGAGCTACTTGTGTATGTAGAAAAAAATGGATTGCTAGGATGGGACATTTGAGGGTTTGTTTTTCTTCTGTTTCTCATATTTACTTTTTGCCAGACATTTTCAACCTAAGATGTTGGAAATCTGTTGCTTTGAGGACAGAAAGATGCTTTTAGTAGAATATTATTTAAGTGGCTGAAAGTTTTAACGAGTTTTTTTTTCCTTTTTTTAATTTACAACATCTTGAAGTTGCATTATTAATTCTTGTTAATCTATCTGTCTTGTTGATATGCCTATCTTGATTAAACAAGCATTTCATAAGGGAAACAATACACATTTTACAGAAATTTGGAATAAGAGAAGCCTATATTTTAATGAAGTCATCTTTGAATCTTTGATCTAACTGCATCTTGTGGTGAGGCATAATGAGTGATGGATTGCCAGATTTGGTATTTACCTTAGTCACTTAATTAATGATTGGAAGAATCATTCTTTGTTGAAAATTTTCTTTTCTTTCAGTCATGTGTGTGGGTGTGTTGGTTTATTATAGCCTTGCCCTTTTCATAATTTTAAGATAATAGCATCCAAACAAATTGTTGTAATGTTGAAACACCAAGCCAAACAATCTAATATGACAACAAATAAATTTATCAAAAAAAAAACCAAATACTTAGCAAGAAGGAATATTCCAAATATAAAAGCAAAAAGAACACTAGGATTTACGTGGTTCAGCTTGAAGCCTATATCCATGGGTAGGGGCAACGAGAAATTTCCAGGATAATGGAAGCAAGATGAAGAGTACAAAATTTTTGTTACCCAAAACTCACTCGAATACAATAAACAGGGAGCAAGAGCTCTTAAAATTCTCTATATTCCCTAAACTATCTCTTTCCCCTTGTGAGAAGCAAAAAGAAAACCAAACTGAGATTGTACACCCTTTTTTGAATTTTACATTCACCATTTCTTGCAACCGAAAAATGCCATTAATGAAGGTAGAAATAGGGCAAAAATGGAAACCAAGGGCAATGAAAGGGAAAAGATATAATGGTGGGGCAAAACTTGAGTGGGCTTAACCTTTAAAGCCATACACAACAAATCTCCACTTTGACTTGAAAATATCACTTCATTTGGAACCATGTTAGGCATGGTGATGTTGTGACTAAAAAGTTTCCTACTTAGGAGATCCTATGACGTGTTGATGAAAGCTATCTGGCTTGTGATGCAGTGTAGAAGTAGAAGCAATAAAAAGAAAACCAGAACAAAAGGCTAAAGTTGATTGAAAATCAAAGTTGGAGCAATATAACTAGGGTTAGGACTGTAGAACCTCTGATAGAAAATAATCCAATGTAATACGGTTGTCTAATGTGTCTAAAGTACTAGGGTTACAACAGCTTTTAGTCCTAGTGCTTGGATTTGCATAAACCCCATCTAATCCCATCCATTCAAACTAATTAAGAGCTCACTTGCTAGACATATGACCACTTATAATAAGAAAAAAACACAATTCCTAAATAATAAAAATAGTAAAACAATAAACGTGAAGGAAAACATATCAAGATAAACAATTGGATAAATTCTAGAATGTTTCTACATCAATCTCTTCGGGTTGATAGAAGGCCTCCGTATTAGTGAGAACTTTGGTTGCTTTAGCACAGATTTTTGGATCAATCCTTTTCAGTTCACCTTTTGCAATCCAAGTACGCTCACTAGCTGGTTTAATCAACTCACTGTGATACAGTTGAAGTAAAGATCACTTGAGTGTTGAACTTTATGTTCTTCAATACCTATAACTTGATTGCTCATTACCATTTCCAATGACCTTCTATCTTGGCTAAGAATATCTTCAATTTCAACAAGTGATGCATTACACTTCATAACAAATAACTTCTTTAAATCTGGTAGTACAATAACAAGTGCCTCTGTCATCAAAAGCTCAATCTGCTCAATAGCTCTTTGTGCAGAATTTTGTTCAGTGATTGTCCTTTGTGGACTTTTTCAGTTGTTTTTCTCCAATTGCATGTTTCTAATATATCTTTTCTTACTTTTTTTTTTCTAAAATTTTAGAAAGAAAGACTGTTTATATGTTTTCTATTTTGGAAATTTTAAGAAAATATTGTAAACCTATCTTGTGATTTGACCAATAGAATGAACCATTTTTAGCATTCTTTCCTTATTTCAATGTTTCTTAAACTTGCAAATTTGGAGAGTGGCCAATGAATGTCTCCCTCATATATGTAGAATTTTATGTATTTGTAGGAAGTAGATGATGTATCTTGACTAAAGGAAATCTAGCCTTTAGTTAAATCTCAATTAATGCAAATATTTATGCTTGGAGTGCAACTCTGCAGCTGGAGTAACATGCATCCTTTGCCACCATACCTAATTTTTGCTATACAAGTCTTAATGACATGCGTCCTAAAATTCTTGTGATCAAGGAAATGGCCTTTATTTTAGCTATCAAAACTCACCCTAATTTGTAAAGGAGGTTTATGAGACTGTCAAAAAACCTAATTTTCTTCTCTAAAGGTCTCTTTAACATACACCCTAAAGTGCTTGTCAGCAAGGAAGCAGCCTTCATGATATCTATCAAAGCTCTCCCCAGTTTTTCAAGGTGGTTTATGAGACTTTTCTCCAGTCTCCCTTTTGGTGGCTCAAGGTTTAGAATAGGGGGCTGTGTACTCCTTATTTCTGTGGATGAGATACCTATCTGGCGTACTGTTTCTTTTCTCTTTGCAGTAAATCTGGACCTTAGACTGATGTCATTTCTGTGTAAATTCCTTTAATCTATATTTCGGTTCACTTGGGTATTTAATGCTTCAATCAGGCTGGTGCACTTAAGAATTATGTGTAGCCACTTATCTACCATGTATTGGTTAAGGTTAAAACAGCATTAGATGCAAAGCACTTCTGAAAAATAAAAAAGGTTTTATTTAATATCATGTGCAATGGAAATAATTATGGGGTAGACCTAGGGAATGACTATACGAATCTCTTCTCTTCTCATCTATGATCTAAATACACTAATTCTTTTTCTGATTGCTTCAACTGATATGCTCTTTAGTGTACCTCTATCTTGCCTTGTTCTGGTGGCACGCCAGAGGAGAGAATTATCAATTACGCCATTGATTTTTTTCTTTTATTTTTTGTTTCTGTATTCTACAAACATCTAGCATCAAGTAAAACATATATTTTTCACTTGCAAAGCTTCAAACTTCTTATGATTGAAAGTAAAGTTTTGACAGTTTTAAAATTTGCAGTTTGCATTTATCATCATTTATGAACAGTGCTTGCCTTTGCTTTTTGCTTCTTTTTCATTTAAATTATGGCCAGCAAAAATACATCAATTTAAGGTACTGCTCTTACTGTATCTGTTCTCTATCAACTTTATCACAAGTGCTAAAAGTGTTCTTCTACTGTGAACAGAGTGTAGCATATGATAGATCCAGTGCACCCAAGGACTGCCGAGTCTCTGGCTGGCTGCAAGCTCGTGATCTTGATTTACCGGTTGATGGCAATAAGATGTTTCTTTTGGCTGAATTCACATATGACCTAGAGAAGAGTAGTGCTCAGACCTTTGATGTGTTGGATGCGGCAGGTGTTGGCATTGTTGACACAGTCAGGCTGGATTTCGCTTCCAACCATGGAAGCCCTTCACATACCTGCATTTACCGTTTGAGGGTGCATGGTCATGAGCCCGATTCTGTTTCAGTGGTGAAAATGCTGCATTCTTGACGCATATCATCCTTTGCAATCTGCATTCCTCATGTAATTGTTTTTTTTTTTTTTTTTTTTGTCTTTGTATTTAATTAAATAGTACTTAGGTCATTCTACTTGCTAGATACAGATTTGTTATCGTGTTAATGTTTTCTTCTGTGTAGCAAATGAGTGTGAATCTACTTGTAGTATTCCAGTTAGGCTCTACTTGAATCGAGAACAATGATCTGTATGAAACTGAAATAGATATGCCTTGGTCTCTTGGCAGAAAAAGTTTGATAGACCACTATAATTGTTTGGGCAATTCAACACTATCCTTGCTTAGAGTATATTCATTTCATAGACATGATCATGAATGAGTCATTGTTTTGGCAATTCAAGGTTAGATCTTTCTTGCTTAAATGAGTCGGATAGTCTGAAAACCGTAAGCTTTTAAAGAGTTATGAATAGTTGAATTGTTGGGTAGTTTAGCACTTTTTTTTTTATAATTGAATTCAAAGATGAAAGCAATGATGGCTGAAGAAAGTGTTTCGGATCTTTAATGTACAAAACAGACAAAAAAAAAAAAAAAAAAAAGGGAAAAATGCCTTGCCTTGCCTTATGTATAAAAACTAGGTTTGATAATTTGTATTTTTATGTTGTATTTTTAGTTGCATTTGACACGTACGTGTAATGATGTAAATTATTAAAATATAAATGACACAAATTATAAAGTATGCTTAAATTTTAAACACGAACACAATATTTTTAATATATTTGTTATATATATAATTAATATATATACAATTAATTTATTTAAATACGATAAAAATAAATATGAATAATATATATATATATATGAATAAACATGATTAATATGAATATTCATAAATAGATAAGATTAACACAAATATATATAAAAATATGATTAAAATAATAAATAATTATAAACTATTCATAATTTATAACTTAATAAATTCACATACTAATAATATAAAAAAATAAGAATTTAATATTCATTTAATATGTATTTAATATATATATATATATTTATATATACATACAAACACTTAAAATTTAATTTATATGATTTAATTTATATGACATAAATATATTAAATTTTAGTATCAAATTCAAAATGATAAATTATTAAAGATTAAAGAATAAAATAATAATATATAAGATTAGTATTAATATTTATATTGCATTTATATTATTAATATAAAAATAATTTTATAATAATTATTAAATGAGTATTATAATTAAATGTTTAAATGATTTTTATATGATATTAAATAGTTAATTAAGTATCATAATTAAAAAATTAAAAATTAAAATAATTTTTATATGTTTATATTAAATTAAAATAAATATAAAAATATTTTAAACGTGTGAAACATATTAAACATGTACTTGTATGATAAGATTAAATTACATATTTTATTCATATTGTATCATGTATTTAGATAAGTTAACACATAAATGACAAATTATGTAATGTCAAATTTCATATCGACACTAATAAACACGAAACACATTTTTTTAAAATATATATATGATTATTTTTATATCGTATTACCATATCCTATTATGTCGTGTTTGAAATTACTATGTTTAATAAAAATAAAGATTTCTTAAAAAGCTAAGAGACATGCAAGCTATTTAAAAATGAACTAATGGATGGGTTATGATTATGGTATAATCGAATCATGTCGATAGCTATTACAATGAAAAGTTCAAATTCATAATAAAAATTGAGTTATTTGAATTCATTAAGATTTCGTTTGTTTTGTGAAAATTGATTTAGAAAATAATTTTTAGAAAATATTTATATTTTTTAAAAAAGTAGAAATTTTTTATTGTTTAGATTATTTAATTAAAAATATTTTTTATTATTTAGTTGTTTTGAAATTTTTTTTTTCAAATAATGGTAATATAACTATTAAAATATTAAAAATTACTTATTATTAAAGTATATTGAAATTATTTATTATTAAAATTATTAATATTCAAGAATAATTATATTTTAAAAATAATATTTAATATTAAAGTATTATGTTAATATAAAAAATATTTAAAATAAAACTATTTATTATTTATTATATTAATATTTTAAAATATTTAAAATAGTATTATTATTCTTAAAATACTATTTTATTAATATTGAGATAGTGATATTTATTATTAAAATATTTATAATATTAAAATAGTTATATTTTATATTAAAAGTATCTATTATTAAATCTTAACAAAAATCTTTTTTATTTATATTTATTATTAAAATAATAATATAAATACCTTAATATATAAAATATGAAGTAATATATTTTAAACTAAAAATAATAAGAAATTATTAAAAATAAATATTAAGAAAATAATATTATTATATTATTAACATTAATTATTAAAATAATAAAATATTATTATATATGTTATTATTTATTATTAAAATAATAATATAATATTATTTATGATTGAAACATTAAAAATATTTATTTTTCATAATATACAAAATAAAATATTTAAAATTGAAATATTAAAAGACTTTTAATGTTAATATTTAATATTTTAATAAAAATTAAAAAAATTATTTTTATTAATATAATAATATTTCGAGTTGAATCAACTCAAGTTTGAGTTTAAAATATTATATTCAAAATCTTACTTGAGTAGAATTATAAAAATATTTAAAATTAAAATATCAAAAAACTTTTAATATTAATATTTTAATTTTTTAATAAAATTAAATAAAATATTATTTATTAATATAATAATATTTTGGTTTGGGTCAAAGTTATTTTAAATTTTAAAAAAATTATATACAAATTTTGACTTGAGTAAAATTATACTCAAATGCATTAATAAGTAATTTTACTTTATAGACAGTTTTTTTTTTCAAAAATTTATCTTTTTTTAAAGGTTAGATAATTTTTTAGAAAAATTTTCCTTATTTTATGTTGATCTAAGCTATTCTGTTAACTAATAAGTTTTCTAGCCAAATTAACCACTCGAAAAATTATAAAAATCATTTTTTTGTAAACATCGAAATCTTAACTAAGTTTGTTATTTAATAAAAAATAACCTCGAATTTTATGTTTTGGTTTAAATTTAATTATTTGTATTTGAATTTAAATTGATATATATAATTAATTTACAATTAAAATAATTAAAAAATTATATTAAAATATAAAAAATTGAATTTATTTTTATGAATTATTTAAATTGGATATTAAAAATACACGAATTTAAAATCTTCTAATAAGTTAAATTGCTCAAATTTAAAATTCACCTCTATAACAATTGAACTAAACGCAAAATACTTTATAAAATATTATGTATCATTTATTCTCTTAATTACTATAGTCAAGTTTTAACTTCTAAATCTCAAAATCTATGGTTCGGGCCCTTAGGTAGTCGGAGCCTTTGTTCTTCAACATAAATCTGAGAGGCAACAACTTTTTGGTAACTCCAATGCTTTTGTTTGTGCTAGGAAACCAAGTTGTTTTTGTATCCTCATTGGCTTCCACCAGTGTCAGAACATTAAACATTATCCAACATTCTTACATTTTTTTTTTATAAAATAACTATGTATTTGAACCAATTACCAAAAAGAGATAGGATAAAATTTTGAAACATTTAAAAATTAAAAATAAAAATGAGACTAATTGAAGGAATAAAATGTTGTACAAAGCAACATTATCTCAATAAAAAAATGACCATACGTTTTGTTACTCCATAATATTTGTCCTAATTAATTAGAATTAAATTTATCTCATTTATTCTGACCAAATACCATTTTTGAAAAATGTCATAACGTTTAGATCCGGGGATCTATCGCTAGACATTAATTTTTAGGGAGTCGCCACCAATCTTTTTTATCTAGATACGATTGGTCACCTAAAGAATCTATCTTTTCAGGAAACACCTAAGTTTAAGGATCCCTAAAAGAATAGGTTCAGGTCTACTAACTAGAACAAAGTTCGAGAGTTCGGTTACGTGTGAGGAAGGTTATAGCACCCTCACAACGCCTATCAAAAGATGGTACCAGTTTAAATTTGTGTTATCTAATGAGCCTTAAAATTTTATCAAGTAATTAATTATTAGAAATTATTCTTAATTGACTCTAATACTTTTAGAAAAAAATTGAGAAAATTCCCTCACCTTAAAAGTAAGCAAAAAAACTACTGTTTCACTTACAGAGGCTCCATCATCGGATTATTTAACATTAAAAAATAAAAAAAAGAAAATGATTATTTTTGTGCAGGAAAAATTGATACTTTTAACTTTTTCTCAAAAAAAAAAATCTTTTTGAAAATTTATTTTTAAGGAAAATTGATACTTTCAACTTTTCCTAAAAAAAATCTTTTTGAAAATTTATTTTTAAGGAAGAATTGATACTACCTTTCCTCATTATTCAAAAATTTTTTAGGAAAAATTGAACTTTCAACTTTTTCAAAAATATTTTAAAACTTTTATTTTTAAAAAATTTGATATGCTCAACTTTATCCAAAAAAACTTTTTTTGAAATTTATGGAAAAATTGATACTTTCAACTTTTCCTCAAAAAATTTATTTTATTTATTTTTAATATTTAATACTTTAATATTTCCTTAAAATTATTTTTAGAAACTTTTTTCAATAAATTGATACTTTCAACTTTGCCTCAAAAATTATTTTTTTCTTGAAATTATTTTTTTATTATTACCAATGTTTTTAATAATAAACATAAAATAATATAAGTGAATCAATGTGGCTTACAACTCAAATAAAAAATAAATCAAACGGGATTAGAAACTATCTTAGCAAAATTTGAGCTTAATCTCGGATCAAAACCAATTTAAGTCAACCTTCTGAATCAAGCTTAGATTGTTTCTTGAATGGGTTCCAACTCAAGGCTTTGATTTTGATTAGTGAATGGCTCGGGTTTAAGGTCTTGGTTGAGCCTATCTTGAAGCTGGTTTTGCTAACTGTATTCCTTTCTATCATCACAAACATAGGATAGGCAGCTACCCTTATTCGAATAAATACAGAGATGTCTGGTGCTAACGTCAATTTTGGAGATGACACGTGAACAGTCTCCACGTCATTCTGAGCAAAAGGTGGCAGCAACTGACTGTTTTCAGAAAACTAAGAAGTTGGCAAGTTAGAAGCTGTAACAGGTAATGACACATTCATGGCTAGATATTGCATAGATTGCTGCATGGAAGGTGGCATTGGCAAGCCAGGTGGGAGTCGGAGTAAAGGTTGCTGCTGTGGAGGAAAACCATTAGTTGACCCGTAGTAACCTTGCCAATATATAAGCATGGAAAGCCCATCATTTGTGGTTGGAGCAGATGATGGCTTCCAGCCGCCAGCCTCGACACCTATTGGCAGTACCAGTGAC